TTTTAAAAAAGGGAATTCATTTGCACTATAGATTTTTAAGAGAAAATGTCATCAGTAAGCTCGAATTTCTTCTGCTGCATATTCATATATACCAATAGGAAAATGACACATGTGACTATCTTACCATGAAGTGATTGGTCAAGAATGGAACCACGAAACAGAGCTGTGTGAACAGCGGTCTCATGTTAGCCTCAAAGTATCAACAAACTTCAATTCCATGATTAGTATGTCATCGCTAACTAAGGGTCATAGTGTAACTTGTAATGGAGATGTGTTCGTTAATGCGCATAGATACACACTCTTCTCCACAGACTACATAACTGATAAATCAAAGTGTTGTAATATTTTAAAAGAGACATTCTGCCCAAATCAGGCAAATTAGAGGGTTTCACACTCAGTTTGAGTAGAAATGGCAAACTAGCCAGCACACCCCAATGCCAATATCCCCAGCAAGCTGTTTGACTGAAGCCCTCTGTCCCCACTGAACCAGCTTGTCCTCCCCGTGGTGATTTTGCTGCTTTTCTGCCATGAGGTTACTGCCTGCTGCAATACTCGGCAGTCCTGAACTATTCTCTGTCCCTACTCCACTGACATTAGTCTCCCCAGGAAATTGCTATTTTATGAAGTATCATGAAGTAGGAGATGGAATCCTTGCCATTTAGTTTCACCTTCAAATACTACAGGTTCATTATTTTTCTAGGGACTGATTCCTATTCACGACCTCTCTCCTTCACTCATCTCAATTCATTTCTTTTCTGTTTCTTGTTGGCTGCTCTGGGCTACTCATATCTGAGCCCCGCCGCTTAAGAGGAGCCAGCTGAGAGACCTGTACACATGATGAAGCAGCATATAGAGCTGCCTCCGTATCCACATATTCTCTCTTTGAAACTCTCTAAACAAGATTCTGTCTTTAACACATCTTTTATTTTTCATTTTTCAAACATTTATGTTCCCATCTTGTGGTCCCAGCTAACTTAGTTCTGTTTTAAGGACCTATGGGTCTCATTCCACATGAAGTTATTATTATTTTTTTTTTAATGTACTATCTCTCCTACTACACTATGGGGTTCTGAAACATTTCAGAGTCATCTTGCTGCTGAAGCGCTTGGCACATTCTAAATGGAAGCATTGCCCCTAAGTCAAGAGAGTTAGTTTCTAGTCCCTGCTCTTGTCACTGACTAGGTACCTGCTCTTCACCTCACTAGGTTTCAGTTTTTTATCTGTAATCTGTTGGGTTTAATTAGTGAGTCTTAAATCTGACTGCATTAAGGATTACTTGGACAGATTTTAAGAGTGAGATCTGTGTGTATGTGTGTGTGTTGTCAGTCTGTCTGGAATATGTAAACTATCACCTAAAAATTCTGCTGTAATTGGATGGTGTGAGCACCTGTTCATTAGGAGCTATTTATATCCCTCTGTGTCCTAAATGTGCAGCCAGGGATAAAAAATCACCAGATGAGATGATATAGGTTATTACAACCAATTCGTCAGATCTATGATTATAATTTTGTAAAATAAAATACTGAGTAAGCACTCATTAAGAGTTAATTTTGCAGATTTTATAGTTTGATAGCCAAAGGAGAAAGTCTTCCCTGATTCAGACTTTAGGTATGCCACAATTTAAGGTCATGGCCAACTTCTAGTTTTATATAAATGCTTAAGTTTTGTAAAACTCCTTATAATGTAACTTTACTTTTGTGTTGCATGAGAGGCTTTTTAAAACTTTTTTATAACTTCATTTTTTAATGCAAAGAGTATTAAAAACAAAATACTCTTCATCATCTGAAGGGTTCTTTTTTATAAAATTTTTAATGTTTTAGTATGTGCTGATTGTAATTAGTTCATTAGTAGAATTCTTTCAGTAGCTGCTCAGTTTTTTGTTTTTTTTTTTAAGATTTCTTTATTTATGCATACAGAACTGGGGTACATACCAGAGTTGCAGGGGTGGTAAGAGGATTCACCAGAGAAAGAGTGGGAGCAAAACAGGCCAACTGACGAAGTACACTGCTGAGGGAGCAGTGGGCAGGTCAGAGGTCTGTCATGCTATGTGGGTCACCTCGAGGGTGGGGATCGAACTCATGCTGAAGTGACTTTAGCTTCTTAGTAGTTTAACCCCTGAACCACTAGGGAGGGCCCTGCTCAATTTTACTTTTAAGGATACATTTCTGCAAGAAAAAATACCAGTTCATGTCTTCAATTTATCAATTTATCAATTTATCAATTTATCTACTCTTCAGTCTTTAAAATTTTGTAGTTTTTTTTTTTTAATGAGCAAGGAACTATATTGTGATTGGCCTTGCAGTAAATAAAAATAATGCCCTACATACTCCCAAAATGACAAATTATGACCTGCTGCTAAATATGTTTTGTTCTTGAAGTAGCCAAAAATAATCTATACAGATTAGGTTCTTACAGGTTATCTTTTTTGTCTTTAACTTACTTAGAGTAGTATCTTAATTTAACTGTCATTTTGAGCAACTTCTGAAGTTTTAAGTGCAAAACATGCACCTTTGAAACCTGCTAGTTCCATCACACTTAGCAGCACAAGAACCAGCTCCCTAGATGACCTCAGCTGAAGCTGCGTACCCCTAAATAAGTGCCCGCTCCAGTCACTGTGATCCCTCAGCTATTTCAGTTAAGGGCGGGTTGCCATGAGGCTAGCAAAGTCTCTGACATCCTTGCTTTTTTCAATGATTCCCTCAGGGTAGAAAAACTGTCAGTGATCTGCAGAGAAGTTGGAAGCATACACTAATAGCTCTCCTTCTTCAAAGCTGTTTCTCAGTGCAGGCCTAGCACATTCTCTTTTGAAAGCTAATGAGGCTGGAGATGGAGTTTAGATATGACCACCTGATGCCAGTGATCTTCACCTTAAATTAAGCTCAAATGAGAAGCCATCCAGTGCCACCTAAATCTACTACCGTTGAAAGCATTCAGGATCATTTTGACCCGTTCTCACACTCTTTTCCAGAACCCACCACCACTGTGTCCTCGTGGCGGCAAGAGAACGTGGACTCTGACGAGGCGTGCCTCTCCCCCCAGGCTGGGCGCCTGATCCGGCAGCTTCTAGATGAAGACAGTGACCCCATGCTCTCTCCTCGCTTCTATGCATATGGGCAGAGTAGGCAATACCTGGATGACACGGAAGTCCCCCCGTCTCCCCCCAATTCACATTCTTTCATGAGGTATGTTTCTTTGTGGCACTGATAAGCAGATGCATCCACCTATAAAATTAGAAAGGACAGGAATGGGACTTATGGCTAGTGATTTTTTTTCTAAATCAGTTGGAAGTCTGTGGAGGAACAGATTTGAAATTTCCCATCCCAGGACACAGTCTATGTTATATTTTACTTGAACTATATCATTGCATAGTAAATTTCCAATAGAAGCTCCTTTCCCGAGTTTTTGCAAATTTAACTTTGAGGGATTGAGGCACATATTTCCATTTCAGCTTTTGCTGAAATTCCACAAACTAAAAAAGTTTAGGCCTATTTAACAGGTGGGGCATGCAGAACTCAAAATCACAAAATGAATTGGGAGTCAGCTTTTTTTTTTTTTTTTAAGATTTATTTATGCATACAGAACCGGAATATAAGACAGAGGTGCAGGGGCAGTGAGAGGATTCACCAGAGACAGAGTGGGGAGCAGAACAGGCCGACTGACAAAGTACACTGCTGAGGGGAGCAGCGGGCAGGCCAGCCAGGAGAAGTCTGCTGCACCATGTGGGTCACCTCCAGGGTGGGGATCAAATTCACACTGAAGCGGCTACAGCTAGCTTGCAGTGCTGTGTCCTAACCTGTTGCGCCACCAGGGAGGGCCTGGTAGTCAGCTTTCAATTATTCAAGGGGATGCTGCTGCCCTCATTCCCAAAGTTCCTCCAGCAGTGACCACTTATAGGGGAGCTGACCCAAGTTGTGCCCCTAACAGAAGGCGGAGCTCTTCTCTGGGATCCTATGAAGATGAACAGGAGGACCTGACACCAGCCCAGCTCACTCGAAGGATTCAGAGCCTTAAAAAGAAGATCCGGAAATTTGAAGACAGATTTGAAGAAGAACGCAAGTATAGGGTAAGTGACCCTCCGGGGTCTCTCACCTTTTCTTCCTCCCCAACATGCCAGCAAATCAGTAACTCAGAGAAGTGAGAAGGTAAGAAAGATTTCTAGAGAATCAAAACTAAAAGACAATAAAGATTGGAGAGTAAACCTTGATAAACTGAAAACATGCACTGGTATTTTTTTTCTTGCAGAAGGGTATCCTTAAAAATACTGAATACTTTCATGTAATTTTATAAGCTTTTCTCTGAGCAGTCATAGGAAGAGTCATTAAATGAAGTCCTCCTTTTGACTAAAACTCAACTCAAGATCATCTTCTAAAATTTGCTTAGTACTGACCTCATTCTACTGTCTTCTCTCTCCTTAATATTTCTTATAAGAATGACAAAAGCATTTTTCATGATAATTATAGTGTTAAACATAAACATAAATCCTTAAGGCTTCTATTCTGTTAACCCGAAATGCTAAGTCCTACAAATAATGGAAATAGGGCTATGGACCGCATATAAGTCCATACTCATATTATGTAGCATATTGCCCCCTGCCCCCGAAAAATTTTTTTGAAGCTTCAAAAATAACCAGGGTATAAAGAAGGATAATGAAATTATACTTGTGAAATTTGTTCTGATTGCTTATGATTCAGTTCTTTTTCTGATGGCTCAGTTTTTCCTTTTTGTTTAAAATAAATTGATCTACAAACTGTTCTTTTTCCAGAATACTTATTCTAGATTTCCTTGTCCTAGCCTTCTCACAGTGACAAAGCAGCCAATCCAGAGGTCCTGAAGTGGACCAATGACCTTGCCAAGTTCCGGAAACAACTTAAAGGTTGGTGAAGTTCTATACTAAGGTTTCTGTAAAACAAGTCAGGTTTAAAACTCCCCCTATGCCAGATGCCATTGCTGAAAGATTCCAAGAAAAATAAGTTCCTGCAAGCTACTTCTTAGTTCTCTCTATCTATAGGGTTAACCCCTTATGTCTTCGCATGGTCCCAATCACAGGGTTGCCCAGATCAATTAAAGCCAAAATTCTGTGGCATTTATCACTATATCACTAATATAAAGATGATGTTTGTAATAATCAACACCTGTTTAACCCAAGGCTTCATTGGCTGTGGTGTTAAAGGGGACATAGACACAAAAATGAGTCTGAAAAGCATGTGGTCACTGTCCCTCAAAAATCTTACTATGTCTCAGGACACGAGTCATCTAAACATCTAACTAGAATACCAGATCATTGAAAAATGAGATCTATAAGTCATGTAGAAAAGGCAACTAGTGGTTGGGTGTTAGATCATTGTTAAACACTAAGGAAGAAGAATAGGAAAACATCTGCCATGTTCCAAGAACAACAGGCAGGCGGGTCAGGCTGAAGCATGGATGTTACACAGCTCAAGTGTTCTCAGGAATCAGGGCTAGGGAAACATTCCAAATAATCAAGACATTGTCATTATCTTAGGTTTTGCATAGCAGCCCAGGGATTTCAGCTAATATTATAATTAGACGCCTTCTGCCAAAAGACGGACTAAGCAGTTATTAACACCCCAGAAAACCATTTGAGTTCAGCAGACATCAATTCTTAAATATCTCTCAACCCCCCAAATCTTTTCAACTAGAGTCAAAACTAAAGCTATCTGAAGAGGATCTCATCCCCAGGATGCGACAGCGAAGCAACACACTTCCCAAGAGTTTTGGTTCCCAACTTGAGAAAGAAGAGGATAAGAAGCAAGACTTGGTCGATAAAATGATAAAGCCGAGCGTTGAGGCCACGCTGGATTCTGTCCAGAGGAAGCTCCAGGAAAAGCGGGCAGAAGCCGGCCGTCCTGAGGACATCAAGGTGTGATGTGTGGCCATGTCCCAGGCATTCTGCTAATCCTAAACCTTTGCAGTCAGTGTGATGCCGAAACCTGGGCCATGCAACATGGTTCCAGTACAGAGGAAACTCCCACACCGCCAGCTTTCCCACCTTTGATTGTATAGTGAAGCAGGAACTTCCAAGTATTTGAATGGCAGGTTCTTTGGGTTTTAGCCACAAACTAAAAGCAGAAAACCCAATTGCACAGATTTCAGAATGAGCTTTTTTTTTTTTTTTTTTAAGCTTCATTCATGTTTTGGTGGCTGTCTGAGAGAGGATTCTAGACAAACATTTGGGGGGTGGGAGCTGTCTCTAGGGACATTGCTGGACCACCATGCCAAGCCCCAGGGTCCTCAGTGTTCAACTTTCCTTTGCTGCCAGCTGAGAGATGTAAGTAGTTGATGATGATTCTGCATTTCTATCCATATTTCTAGAGAGAAGGTCAGGAATCAATCACTCTAAAGTGAGATTTGACTCAAGCCAGGAAGAACTGGTATATCAGAATTCTTTGTAACTTTACTTTAGGAAATTTAACTAAAGAAACTGAAATGTTTACAGATGTTTTCCCCTATCCCATTTCTCTATCTTTGTGTATATGCAGGATATGACCAAAGACCAGATTGCAAATGAGAAAGTCGCCCTGCAAAAAGCTCTGTTATATTACGAGAGCGTTCATGGACGGCCGGTATGTAAATGGGGGTCAACTTTCAGTTTGGGGTAAATGACCTGACTTAAAAAGGGGTTTTGTATGTACAGTATTTTGCAAATAAGATTCCCTGATGTTTAAAATACTATATATTTTTACCATCACTAAATTTTTGAAGGCTTAACTCGATGAGAGTTCTGCTACATAGCAGGTGTTAAATTTAATGGAGATCCAAAGAAAAATTAGTTTGCAACTGGGATTTAGTCACTAGTATCCTCTTTAAGGGAGGATGTTGTGGAGGAGGGAAAGGATGGTGCGCAGGAGCCCAGAGTGAGGAGACTCCCTGTTGGTTCTGCACCCATAAACTGTCCCTGGGTCTAGTCATTCTTGGCCATCAAAAAAGTCATTGAACTTAGAATGTTCTTTCCTAAAATGTATACCCAGTGCAGTTGCAATGAGTATTTGCAGAGAAGTTCCAGCTGTCATTCAGAATCAAAGTATGAGGAATGCCAAACATGGCTTTGCTGTTTCAAAACAAGAGGAAATATTTGAGGTGCTTTGATACTGTGCAAGTGTGTTGTAAATGTTTGTTGTTAGTCCCAGGAGGACAGAGGCAGGACAGGCTTCTGCCCTCCTCCCTGAGGCTCTTGTAACCAGGTATCCTGTCAGTTACTCTTAGCAACCCTCTGGTCATAATGTTTTCAGAACTCCAACAAGACAAATCTTAGGAGTGGTACAGAAGAGCTCTAAGTTCATGTTCATGGAATGGCTCTTTCTATAGTCAAAGGCATAGGTCTCTTTTCCAGTCTCAACATTAACATACATTGCAGGGGATCCTTTTATCTAAGGTATGCTTTTTGAGTAATGCTCCTGCCCACCTGTGCCTATGCAAATGTTGCTAATCGCCAACCTTCTGCCTTTGCAAAGCAACAGAGTCAGATCTCCCCCATACCTGCTGCCTGTATCACGCGGGCCTCTCTCTCTTTTTTTTTTTTTTAAATAAGATTTATTATTTATGCATACAGAATTGGGGTACAGGCCAGAGGCACAGGGCAGTGAGAGGATTCACCAGAGACAGAGTGGGGAGCAGAACAGGCAGATTCACGAAGTACACTGCTGAGGGGAGCAGAGGGTGGGTCAGGAGAGGTCTGCTGCGCCATGTGGGTCACCTCCGGGTCCAGGGATGGAACTCGGACTAAAGCAGCTGCAGCCAGCTTGCAGTGCTGCATCCTTACCCATTGCGCCACCGGGGATGGTCTGCAGGCCTCTCTTTTAATAAGCCTGTCCCTTTCGAGGGCAGCTCTTTTTGCCAGAATAATGCCTGGACAGTAAGGTCTGTGAGGGTGGGGATTCTAAGTCTTGTTCACCTAATGACAAACATAATCCTTAGCAACTATCACAAAACTGAACATAGCATGTACCCAATAAACCATCTGTAGAATGAGTCCTCTGTGATATTTTGGTTTTGAATTTATCAGGTTTAAGTACAGGGAAAAAAAAAAAAGCTGGACTGATGATGATTGATTCTGCTGGCTGGTCTCTGCAGTGGAAAAATACTGGCACCTAGGATCATGGTCATGTTTCAAGCCAAGTTTTGTTTTAGGTTTTTTAAAGGCATTGAACCAGATAGTAAATGCAACTGGACATCAAATGCATTGTGAAACCATTCTTCTCCACTGGAGGGCTGCTGCCGACAGCCTTGGTGAAGGAGGTGGAAGTTGTGATTTTTTTCCTTCTTTACAATTTGTCCTTTTCATTGTATCTATTCAGGTTAGGGCATCAGGAAACTCCCTTAAAGACTCTCTTCTTGAGGCCTGGAGGTTTCCTAGCAGCAGTCTAGTTAGTCTTAATCATGGCCTGCAGAGGGGCTCAGACCGCAGTATTTAGCAGCCTGATGAAGTACAGAATCCCCCATTCAGCCAGGACTGGGGCGCTGTGCGCATGCTCTGAGTCTGCAGGTTGCAGCCCTAGATTGAGCACACAGCCCTACAGAGACGAACTTTGTGGCTTGTTGGAGCCTCGTTCTGGTCTGGATAATAGATGGCTGTTATGGTTGCCATGGAAACTGAATGACATTGCATGCATGTTACCTGTAGGATGCCTGACACTGAGGATATAGGGTCTAGTGGCTTGGCAGTGTGGGGTGCAGTAAACGACAGTTTTCACTTAAGTTCTAATTCCATGTTCTACTCTCTGAGGTCCACATCTTATTAAATGATTAGATTAGGTGAAAGATTGAATTTTAGTCCTTTTATCATGAGGAATATGGAATAATAGTTGTTGACTCTGCCTTGTCATTGCCTACTCTTTTATCACTCTTTCAGATAACAAACAGCTTTTTAGATCCAAATTCTAGTATCTCATTGGACAGTGAACAAATGCTCTAGGAAGCTGCAGTGTCATTTAGTCTTGATCCCAGGTCAGACTTTCTGCTTCTGTCTGGAACTTGATGCTCCAACCTCCTGAGGAAAAGCAGAGGTCATTTGCTAGCTGGCCAATCAGAGCGAACTTAACCATTTTTAGAACTCTGGTGTTGCCTTGGACCCTGGACTGTAAATACCATTTGGGCAACATTCTTCTTAAAAGAAAAATACATGTACTCCCAGAGGCAAACTACCTTTTTTCCTATCCTTTTTGTTTGTTTGTTTGTTTGTTTGTTTGTTTGAGGTGGTCAGAGTGCTTGGGTTTTTGCTGACAGTAGATTATGATTTAAAAGGATCCTATCAAAATCACAGACTTGGTTTATCTCTAGAACTTGAAGTGTGATGGAGAAGCAGTAGCTGGTGAAGCAGTAGCTGTTGGAGGAAATTGAGCATGATTCCTCCCCTCCACCTTTACAAGCAGTCCTTTGTTTTATTTGTTTGTTTGTTTGTTTGTTTGTTTTAAGATTTATTTATTTATACATACAGAACTGAGGTAAAAGCCAGAGGTGCAGAGGTAGTGAGAGGCTTCACCAGAGACAGAGAGGGGAGCAGAACAGGCTGATTGATGAATTACACTGCTGAAGGGAGTAGCAGGTGGGTCAAGAGAGATCTGCCTCACCATGTGGATCACCTCCAGGGCCAGGGATCGAACTCACACTAAAGTCGCTGTGTCTAGCTTACAGTGCTGTGTCCTAACCCGTTGCACCACCAGGGAGGACCTCTTTATTTTTTTATTGACTAAATCTGATCTGTCCCATTGTATAAGTGCAAGGTATTACATTTATGGATTATGACATAGCTGTTCTATCTTTGTCATGTTCCATACCTCTAGTACTACACTATTATCTATGTTCAGCTGTTTCTGAACTCTGTGACTGCTTTAATATTCATTACAAGTGTATACCCGTATGCATCATCAATCATATCTCCCCATTGTCCCCATTCTATGGTAACAACCATTTTAGTCTGGTGGGGTTTTTTACAGGTTTGATTTCTTTTTTATATTCTACTTATAAATATTTTCATAGAGCATATCTTTCTCTGTCTGGCTTATCTCACTTAGCATAATGTGGTTAAAGTCCATCCATATTGTTGCAAATGGCTGGGTATCCTCCTTTCTCATGGCTGAATAATATTCCTGCCACACCTTTTGTATCCATTCATCTGTCAGTGGGTATTTGAGTTGTTTCTAAATATTGGCTATTGTGAATGGTAATGCAATAATATGGGTGTGCTAAATTTTATTTTAAACATTCTTAGACCCCCTGCCAGATTTTAAAGCTACAGAGATGAGTCAATCAATATATCCTATCAACAGATGTTCCTACCATTCACCAATATTTGTCCTTATGTTTCATGGAAGAAGTGAGGTATGTAAAAAAATATATTTACATTTACAGGAAGACAAAATAAGTATCATAACAAGATAGTAGGTTTATTTCTTCCCTGGAAAAATAGTAAATAAACTGGGACTCCTGACCTTTGAGGAATTTAAAGCAGGGACTTAATCATGGTCATAATTTTGATTTAGGAAAAACAATAATCCTGATAGAACTATTCCCAATGATCTGCAGCTGCATTGGCTATTTCAAATGTTCACTGACTAAACAGTGTTATCAGTAAAATAAATATGAGAATGGTGAGAATGCACTTGAATCATCTTTGTTTTCTCCACATGCAGAATGTTGTAGTATGGTACTAAGAACCGGCTTCTCAGCTGTCTTATTCTTACTTTTCAGGTAACCAAGAGTGAACGTCAGGTTATGAAGCCACTGTACGACAGGTACCGGCTGGTCAAACAAATCCTGTCCCGAGTCAACACCATCCCCATTATTGTGAGTGTCACACCTCCCTGTTGCTTTCACTTGGCTGAATGGGCCCCAGCTATGTTAATAGGACCCTCACATACTTCCTCGTTAAAGAATAGCCCATAGTAGTGGAGCCTGCCATTAATATTGAAACTTGAGGTTGAAGAATTTATCAAAGATTTTGTAGGCTACCTTTACCACAATTGAGCAAATCTGAAGCTGATAGATTTTTTCCCCTTATTGGGCAGCATGCCTTGCCATATACATCTGTCTGACTTGTAGAAGGCTGGCTCCCACCCTTTCCTCACAAATGGCTCACCAACAGACAGGCTGTGCATTCTCCAAGACACTCCACTCCAAAGAGTGCCTCTCTGGTCCCTGGGACCCTCTGGTAATAGTCATCTCTCCCCTTCCAAGAGAGGGATGAGGCCCTCAGGAATCATATCCATGGAGAAATCCTCCAAGGGACTCAGGATTACCTGCTCGCTGGAAGCTGTAGAGAATTGGAGAAAAGGACGGGAGGCCAATTAGTGACTGTGCAGTTAGTCAATCTCAGTGGCCACCATCCTTGGATTTAGACTCTGCATTTTGACTTTGTCAAACATAGGGAACAGCAACTTAACCTCAACTCTGGGAAGCCTTTCAGGCATCGGCCAGCTTACTGTCCTCCTTTGTCCAGCCTTGGGCTTTTCCTCCCCCAGCTCATGAGTTCATTGTCAGTCCCTCACCATCTCTTGGGCAACTGTTTGCCTCTGTTTCATTGGTTCATCTCCAGGGACCCTGGGGCTTCCTCTGCTGGCTTTAGGCCTTTTAATAAGCACACACAGCCTCACTGCTGTGTCAATACTGAAATGCATCTACATCGTAGCTAATGTTGTTCTGTTCCTGCTTCAAATCTCCTTGTTTACTTCTAGGCCAAAGATATGGCCTTTATATTACTTTTAACAGTGTACTTGTTTACATGAATGAGGAGAGTCTGGAGACCTCAGGCAGTTGTATTTGAAGACAACTACTTTTCTAAAAATTTCCTGAAGTCCAATTCAGTGAACTAGCCTATAAAAATAATTGAATTTAAGGAATCCATTTCATTCTCCAACTAGAACTGTTTAGTATTGCTGAATAGGGTGAATGAGTAAAAGGAATTCAGATAACCTTTGTATCACTCGATGAGCTCACTGCTATGATAGGTAAAGTTAATTGCAATTCATGTGTTCTTGGAGCTCTTATGACCAGGGGTGGGGAGGCAGGGAAAGGAAGGGCAGTTGTTTTTCCTCAGGTGCTCTCTGTGAGTGTTAGGCTGACCTACTCCAGTGCTGTCCTTGTCCTCAGGTGGCTCTTGGATCTGTGTGGGCTCTGAAGTGAAGCAGAACTTAGAAAAGAACTTTGGTTGTTTCTGGTCCCTGGGAATTTCTGACGGGAGGGGTTAGAGTGTACAGTTAAATGTAGTGATAGGTATTGATGAGGTCAAAGGAAGCGAAGAGCTGGCGGGACCAGAAAGGGTTCCCAATGTAACCTGCTTGTTAACAACTGTCACAGGGTTCCCCCTCCACCAAGCGGAGAAGCCCTTTGCTGCAGCCAATTATCGAGGGCGAAACTGCGTCCTTCTTCAAGGAGACCAAGGTGAAGAGCTCCAGCTTCTAACCACTTGCTAAATCAGCGCCAGTTCCGTCCTTCCCACCTTCCCTCTGTCCTGTGAAGGGAAAGGGGTTGTGATTGGGCCCTTTCATGATGGCTCTTTAGTGCTTCCCAAAATCAGTAGCTACATATAATCAACTTGGGAATCTTGTTTTATTTATAAGCTGATTTCATTAGTTTCATTTCTCTTTGTTGTCTATTGTTTTGTTTTCACTTTGCTTTCAGAAATGTTTGTTTTGTTTTGATATTTTTTTGTTTTCCCTGTTTGGTGGAATGGATTTTCTGTATTCCATAGTTTTGTTAAATTAGTTCCTTGGGTTACTTTTTTTAAATCTTGTTTACTGAGCTTATAGAAAAGCCAAAATTAACAAAAGCAGTGTACCTCCTTTTATAGATTAATATCTTACTTGGTTTTGACACTACTCCTAACTTCTGCCTTCCCTGGCACATTAAATCCTCAGTACTGACTTGATATTCTCTTCTTGATCTGTGAATTACTGCTCTGACCACCAGGCACTAAAATATAGGCTCTGATTATTTTTTTAATCAAATACTAGTTATGGATTTCCTTGTCGTTTATGGATCTGTTTTTCCCAGAAAGTGAGGTGGAATCTATATCTCTAAATTTGTAAGTCTGTGTGGAAACCTAATTGTTTTTAGCCCAATGACTCTTTGTTGTGGAATTCAGGCCTCCACACATAAGATGCCTTCCTGAGCTACAACCATCCCCTCCCTGGTTGGGACAATCAGAAACACCTCCAGACATTGCTAAATGCTCCCAAAGTGAGACCATGACCCTATCTCACTGTTAACCCATGCAGTCTCCAATGAAATTTCAACAATTTCAACCCAGAGTGGTCACTTATTTATTGTAGTTAGAAAAGATTTTTCAGCAAATGGGGACCTTATTCTCATGAGTATCCTATCCAGGGGGACCTCTCCATTTTCTTCCTGATTCTCATAACTGAGGTAAGGTACCAGAAGTTATCAAGTCTTCTCTTTTATTTACCTTATTTCTTTCCTTACTGCTTAGGCATCTTAAATATTCAGGTATCGACATTTACACTGTTAGACAATATTTATGTTCACTATTCATATTACTTTAAATAGAACTTGTTTATGAAAATGCTATAAATGTGAAATTTATGATAATATGCTATATTGTGTCTTCAAAATGAAAGCTTTTTCTTACAATAAGATTTGATATTGATGAAAGAAAATGAATTTTGTCTAGCCGGTTGTTTCACAAGAAGTAAATCACTGTAATTCAAGAAATTTGGCAACTGTGTGTATGAAAATTAGCATATTTCTCTAAGAAGTATGTGCTAGAACTTGTTACTTGATTAAAATGTGTTCTTGGACACATCCAAAATATAACTTAAAAATTGCCTCAATTAGATGATACTGGTTTTTATTTTCAAAGAGGACAATCTTCCAAATCTTATTCTTTAGCTTTTTTTTTTTTTTTAAATAAGTGTATTTTGGCCATGGCTTTGTTGGCACACATCATGGTCAAAATTTCAGTTAATTTTGCAACTATTACATTGCTTTTGTAAATAGTGGTGTCTTTCAGATCATTTTGTTCTAGTTGGCAAGCTTATTAGCATGCTTTAGATTGTACTAATTCTTGGCAATTCTAATACACAGCTTAGATGTTGGTGTGGGGTGGGGGGGTAAGAAAGAGTGTATCTAAGTAGTTTCTTTAAAAACTGTCCCTAGTTTTAAGTGGGAAGGAGAAACAGCTGTGTATGAAAGCAAACCAGTATAACCCTGAACTCCTAGATCTTCCAACTGCAAAATCGTAGATGTCATCTAGTCAGTTCTCCTATCTGACATATGACTGTCCTCTAAAACTTAATGGGCAGAATAAAAACAGTCCTTATGAAATGGTTCTACCCTTAAGCTCAGAAATCTACACTACTGGAAGATACGGTCACTAACTACATGGCCTAAGCATCATTTAAATAGCTAAAAACTTATTTCATTGAATGATTATCAGTTTAAATTATAGATTATATAAATTTAGAACTTACAATAAACTTTATCAATTAAATAGCACAATGAATGGAAACAGTTGAAAATTATAATATTGAGTAGTTATTGTATTCCTTCTACTTAACAAGTTTAGTTTTATCTTCAAGAACAATGTGGAATGAGCATGCTATTTCTTCCCTGGCGCCCTTCTTATATTTATAGTCACCAGCTCTGCATGCCCCTGCCCAGTCCTCATAACAATCTCTCCTGCAAGCTCCTTTTCATTTATTCTTCATTCGCTCAGGTTTCCAGAACATTCCACATTGTCATAGCTCTCGTTCCTACTACGTTCCGGTTCACCCATGTCTCTCATGAACTCTGATATGTATAATTGGGCATTGTTCCATATGTCTGAACCACAACAGACAGAGCAAGGGCTGACTAGTCCTGGTGTTGACCCGACCACTGAGTTCCACAAACTGCGACCGAGTGGCTGGCATCGAACCATCTGTTCATCTTAGTCTTTCTTGGCAGTGGCTCCACCTCAGATATTTTGGGCCAGAAATCTCTTTGTTGTGGAATTCAGGCCTCCACACATAAGATGCCTTCCTGAGCCACAACTATCCTCTCCCTGGTTGGGACAATCAAAAAAAACCTCCAGACATTGCTAAATGCCCCCAAAGAGAGACCACAGCCCTGTCTCACTGTTAACCCGCGCAGGCTCCGATTTCCTTCTCCAAGGGCCACTTATCACCTATGTGTCCAAAAAATTTTTTAGTAATCTTTTTATAGGTTCTTGAACTTTTTTCATCTTCAGTTGACCCTTTCAACAATGGGGGAGGCATTTTACCACATAGGTAAAAACTTTTGACTCCCTCAAAAGCGTACCCCATTTATCTGTGTGACAGTTTCACAACCAGCTTTCCTGTTGGAGGGCAGCTCACCTCACTCCTGATTGCAATCCGAATATGCTGCTCCTATTAAAAAGGAAACATGGTTGGTTTTCATGTCTGTTTTGACAGTGCTAGTCACTTTAGAGCACTGATGTTTTTCCAGTTAGTCATATATCTATGTATGGATTCCTTCTAGAATTTACCCAGTGTCCACAACTTTATAGTCTAAAGTATAAAGATTTGTCTGTTTTGCTGTTTATTTATCTATATTTCGCAGATTACTAAGAATAGCTCTGTTTAGCTCTGTTTAGCTCCATGTTAAAAACATTGCGTTCTCATCCTGTGCAAGACACATTTTCACATTTTTAAGTTTTCTTGGGAGCTTGAGATGAAATTGATTAAGACCAAGGTACCAACTTCATTAAGTATACTTCTTTTCTGTAACTTTATTTTTCATGTCTTGGGTTTTAGTACTCCCTTTATCATAGTTATTTGCATTTCTCTTTTAAAACTGAAGTACTGGGCTGCCTAACAGACATTTATTGAGCACCAGCTATATGCAAGCATTGATCAAGCTCTGGGAACAGCAAATGATAGGACAAATCCTCTGCCCTGGAGTTCAAGTTCTGGTGGTTTCACCTGGTTTTCCTCATCCAGGGAACGGGAAGGGGGCAGGGGCTGCCCCACACCGCTGTGTGCCAGCATGCTAGAGCAGGAACTGAGGGAGGACTCAGTAAAGTATGCATATTAAAAGGACATAGCTGGGAGCCGTTGCTTCCTCTTACCAAGAAATGAGAAAATTTTTACTTAGTAATTTAAATCCATTAAGCTGGTTATAAAAACTTAAATTTTAAAAATTAAACTTTTAATTAATTTGAGCTTTTCCATTAGTAATTTAAAAAGTAAGTTCTACTTTGTCATTTTAAAGTGTGTTTAATAATTTAAATTGAAAACATGAAGGATTTGTTTCAGTGAACCAAGCAAAGATTATAGATTATAGAGCTGAAGTCACAGCAGAGACACTCTGGAAAAGCCACCTTTTTTTTTTTTTTTTCCAATTTTACCTTCATGCACTCAGATAGATGTAATAGCCCTTTCCTGTTTTGTTCTGCCTGTTTGTTTATTAACTTTATTTCTCTAGAGGCATCATTATAAACATGCCAAACTCTACAGTAAGGAAACCCACCCCACTGCAGTTTGCACACTGGTGCTTGGCCCATAGTGCTAACTAATCCTGCCAGCTGAGGCTAACTTGCTGTGTTGGCACTGAAGTGACGTAGTTTACCTAAAACAGTTGATGTGATACTTCATGTTGTTTACCTAACTATATATCGAATTAGTTTTGTAATCTTTATAAGCTTCAGGATAGTCTCTTCTGGTCTGACCACATATTTTAGTAGTAAATTAATTTTTTTTAATTCAGACTTTCAATGTTCTTTAGATTATATAGCTTGAAATTGATTCATTGTTTTTCTAAGTGCATCATAACCAAGAATGGTACTTTCCTCAGACTCTTGAATATTGAAAAATATAGTTGTGGCCATGATATTTCCATGAAAAAAAGTCTATGTCCTGTGATTCCAGTCAGGGAAGATCAGTATTTTGTTCTCAAAATACCACAAACTATTTTATAATCTCAATGCCTAAGTAAAAGACTGTGTTATTTGGTTTCTAAACATGTTTATAGAATAGTGAAAAATATTTTCTGATGCATTTTGTTATGTATTGGCACAGAGCTGGAATTGTTAGGTTCTGGGTTCATTTGATTTAGAATATTAATTACAATGGTTGTCCCTACCTACCCTCGACTTTAATAGCTGTTTATTGAACTACACACTAACTTTTGAAGAGATTTTATAGACTTCTCCCTAGTAAATAGCAGTGTTTAATGTTTGGGTTATTTGTATGTACATGTAGTTTTCAACAATACATCTATAATGTACCTAAGTACTCCTAAATGTATTGATAGATACAGAAGAAGCTGTGTGGAATCCATAATTAAATGATTGGGAGAAGATATTTATAATGAAAGCATGCCAGAAAAAAAAATCAGGTTTTTTATTAGGGTTGCTATGTATCTCCAGGAAGAAGAGGATGGTTCTGAAGATGATATCAATACAAAGCCAGACTTATTGGTCACTTGGAAAACTGATTTTAGTGCACGTTGCTTTCTGGATCAATTTGAAGATGATGCTGATGGGTTTATTTCTCCAATGGATGACAAAATATCAAAGTACAGCCAGGACACTGGACTCTCGAATCTCCATGCTGCTTCAATGTATGGCATTTTGGTGGTATTATTAACATGTTTCAATGCAAATAGTCTTTTAAAATATTATTTTAGCCTTTGTATTTAAATGAATTGGCTAACAAAACTCAAGTGACTTGCCGGGAATGTATCTGTGTACACAACACTAAATTTTGTTAGCTTTTGGCTTCATTCTGTTAACATGCTTCATCCCATGACATGCCTCATGCCATGTTGTTCAAGAGAGCATCTAGATCTTGTTTAAATAATCAGAAGCTCTCTCACAATGGCTCTGCATGGCAAGGTACTCCTAGCCAGTTATTTAATGCACAGAAGACATCTCTTTGCCCTATGAATTAATTTAGTGCGGGGACAGTGGGAGCCCCAGCGCCATAACTGTGGCCAGCAGTCCAGGAGAGAGAGCACCTATCTCTTCTGGTTCAGCTCCCTCAACAGTTTTTGCATTGAGGTGCCTCCCCTTTTCCACAGCCCCTGTCAGTTGCTGTGTTTTCAACAATGCAAATATAACTCACTTTTTTTTTTAAAGATTTATTTATTTATGCATATAGAACTGGGACAGGCCAGAGATACGGAGGGTGAGAGGATTCACCAGAGACAGAGTGGGGAGCAGAACAGGCAGATCAGCGAAGTACACTGCTGAGGGGAGCAGCGGGCGGGCCAGGAGAGGTCTGCCACGCCATGGGGTCACCTCAGGCGGGAATTGAACTCATGCAGAAGTGGCTTAAGCTTCTTAGTGCTGTGCTTTAACCCGCTATACCACCAGGGAGGACCATAACTCACTTTTTTCTAAATGTTTCTATCCCTTAGACCAGAACTCTTGGAACACCTCCAGGAAATGAGAGAAGAAAAGAAAAGGATTCGAAAGAAACTACGTGATTTTGAAGACAATTTTTTCAGACAAAATGGAAGGTACTGTACATGTTTTTGCTCCTACCCCTGCATCCATCCTTCATTGCTTTTCTTTCAAATCTGTGCAGTGCCTCCAAATTGGGCCCATTCTGGTCCTCCCATAATCTAGTCCTTGGGGTGCTGGGGCTCTCTGAGATGTCCTGTGAGTTTTCTCTGAGGTTTGTGTGGTTCTCTAGGAAGAGATACTTCTTGGACGGTGTCCAAAGCTCATGCAGAAGTAGCTGACACTTATAAAACTAACCTGTCGCATCAAATTCTTATCTAAAATAAGCAGCTGGATCTGTTTCCAGTGGAGAGCACCGCTGTGTGTGTACACGCATGCATGTCTGTTTGAAACTAGAAGAAATAAGGGAACTCTAAATATTGCTGGTTTTTAAGTTCATTTCAAAGCCAAATTAATAATTGTTAAGTATGAGTGAAAAATACACAAGCAGCAGCAAGCCAATCTGACTGACAGGGGTCCTTTCTCCACTGAAGTTTCAGGCTCAGTGTCCTATTCTCGGTCACCACTGTGCTAATCATCTGCCTTCACCAGTGGCTGCACACACGGGGCCTCACCCAGTGCCAGACAAGGACAGGACAGTGAACAGGCATGCCTCTCTTACATTCGAGTCAGATTTTATCATTTTTAATTGACTTCATTTTAATCCACATTATTTAAACAATATGAATAGTTTCTCTTAAAGTCCCATTGATCCTTCTATAAAGTACTGGGAAATCAAAACACCATAAAAACTGACTTTGGCATTTGGAATGTATTCCGTTTTATTTCAGTAATTGTATAATTTTCTATTTAGCACTCTGGTGTATCTTTTTTCCTTATACTCATTTTGTGCACAGATATCTATATATGAAGGATTATATATTACATATAATATATAAGGTATTGTCCCCATGTACAGACTCTTAACGTGAAGCCATGTAACATGAAGTCGGGTCCTACTTCCTTCTTCCTTTGTGTCATTCTGCAAAATGCCAGACTGACTCTTAAAACTCAGCCATGTGGTGCCTTCTAGGGAACACTGTCTTTCCTGCTGGTCTAAACCCAGCTTGTCTTGACTAAGTTATGCCTGGCCACGCTAATACTCTGGGTAGATGCAGAGTTTCCACATGACGCTAACTCTCCAGATGAGCAGTATCATCCAGGAGAGACAGCCAGTGATCCTCAGCTTCCTTTTCTTTTGTTTTCACTAGAAATGTGCAGAAGGAAGACCGCACTCCTATGGCTGAAGAATACAATGAATATAAGCACATAAAGGCAAAACTAAGGCTTTTGGAAGTGCTGATCAACAAGAGAGACAGTGATACCAAGTCCATGTGAGGGGCAGCCTCACAGCGGAGGAGAGGGGCTGGGGGCGCAGGACGAACTTACTGCCTGTCTCCCCAGGGAATAGCAGCTCTGGGGAGACTGGCGGGCAGCCTTGGAGCTGGACCTGCAGAGCATCTAGCCCTTCCACCTCCAGACCACTGGGGTGGGCTCCAGTTTCAATTGCTTGCCTTAGGAACACCTGGATGGAAGAAAGCAGCCTACCCTGATGTAGGAGTTTTGCAAAAGAAAGTCAAGATTCCCGTGCTTGTGCACACACGTGCACACACACACATACATTGTAGTGGAAACTGTAACTTGCAGTGATGTGCCACTACGTCGAGACACACTTACCTACAGAGACTACACACTGTTCTTCCCTGGAAAACTCAGAGATCATTCTCTAACTGTGATCACAAACCAGCTCAGGACTTCACTCTGTGAGCGAACTTGCCGCGCAGGTCTGTGTTCTCTCTGGACCCAGTCAACTGGGAACTTGCATCGGAGCCCTATTTGCTGCCTTGGCCATTCTCATGACCTTCTCACAGAGCTGCGCCTTTCCCTCCTCCTGTGCTTTGTTCCCAGTCAGCACTCAGGTAGATGGAAGCTGCATCTGCCCAGCATGGCAGAATAGACATCTATTTGACAGTGTGTTTCTACAAGACATCCTCAGCTAATAAAGAATTTTGATCCTGACGAAGCCTGGATCACCTGCGGAGGACACAGGGAATATAGCTGTAGCTCTATGAATGTTGATTTCTTTTAAAATCAGGTATCAACAGGGTGAAGAGCCTGGAGAAATCTTTCCTCGACATTGACTGCACTTGCCAGTCTCACATTTTAACATCAGACACTCAGCGAGGCCAGCATGCTATGGCAACTAGTTTGGGGCTTGGTTTTGCTTTGGTACGAGCCAAATATGGGGGTCTTGCTTAATTCTTAGCTTTAGATAGAAGGAACCTTTGTTCTAGGCTCCTCAGTACTAACCAGAGTCTAATTTTTTAAAAAGTGGACCTGTACTCAAACCTCTAACTGAAGGGAAATGTAGTCCTCAGAGCTCAACCCAAGGCAGAATCTAAATTACATTATTTTAGAACTCATGTATCAGAAGGTAAAATAACCGTGTGTAGCCAATTATAAATTTTCAAGGCTATTAAAGATCTGTCTATATTAGACATTTTGAAGGGACCAGGGAATTTAAGACATCAAATCACTCATCTCTTCAGTATGCTAGCATAACTTGGTGACTTAATTCTTTTTAACCCTCTCTGTCTACACTGGGCAAAGTGGGTTGGCTCTCCCCATCCACCACAGCTGCCTCTTGCTCTGTGGCTGGCGAGAGGTGGGCCCTGCCTTGGCAGGAGATAGTGCAGGATGGTCAGAGCAATGGGGTGCCCCTAATATTTTGAAAATTACCTTCTTATTGGGCACTGTTTGTTTAATAAGAAGAAAAACAAGAAAATACCAAACTCTACTGACAAAAAGTTAATTTCAAAAAGGAATCTTGAGAGAAACTGTTCGGTTTGGAATTATGGCAGCATTTTCCACTGCTGACATGAGGGAGCTACTCTCTCGGCTGAGCATCCTTTAAATTGGCAGTGGGGGAAGAATACCTTTACGTTTGTTCTCAAAAATAATCCTATGGAAGCATGAGCTATGTGTTGGAAGTGCCCTGGTTTTACCCACACACATAAAGTGGTACATAATGCTACAAATTTAGCTGTATGTGAAAATAGAGTTTGGTATTCTTCGCTCTACTGTTTACATTGCTGAATGCTATAGTTTCAAGGAGCTATATTATAAATAAGATTACGCACTTTAGGACACTTTCTATTTTTGAAATCTGAGCATAAATCATCCACATGACCAAAAATCGTATTTTTTAAAACAACTGTATGTCTAGTCTGTCCTTTTTATGTAACTATTCACTTAAATAAGCTATAATATAAATCAAATCATTATCAGTGAACTTTTAAAACACACCTGTTTAAGAGTATTGTTTTTAAAATACTTATGCTACAGAATTTAAAAAGAAGAAAAGCTATGTAAATGAGAAGCTAGTACATATTTTGAAATCTATTGTTTCTGCCAAAGGTAAATTAATAGAGTTATTCAGAATTCCCATTCAAATTTGTATGATTGGATATAAAAAAAATACCAAGTTATAGCAAAATAAATTGTGTATGGAATATTGTGTTTTCCTTTGTAATTTCTAATCTAGATTTCATAGACTTAAACCCAAATTTAGTATGAGGGGGAGGGGCTGTTTACCTGAGATCTTATCTGAAGACATATTAGTCAGGAGGTCTGGCCCTGTCAGAAATGCTGCGGCAAACTTGTTTCCATAGCAACCATTTCTGCAGCCTGGGGTCTCAGGGCCCTAGAGACAGTGTCTTAATAGGCTTCATCACACAGACAGAATATTCTGAACTAATATTCTTCCTTTACTCTCTCGGGAGTGGGGAGTGTGTGTGTGTGTGTGTGTGTGTGTGTGTATGTGTATGTTAACAAACCAACAAAATAAATGTCAAGTGTTATTTAATAACAAAGGTAAAGTGTGAATGAACTTGATTATTTGATTTTTAAGAATTAGAGACAGCAGAGGTTTGCAATTTGCACAAGCATTTTCTCTTATTGTGTTCAATTTAGAGTCAATATTGAAATAGATCTTTATATTAAGCATCATATCATCACATTTTGTCTTTGGATCACTTAGTTTGAATTTCTATTTAAACACGTTTGTGCAGGGTTCAGGATGAGGCCCTGCTTCAGAGTTTTTCAAGACTGTTCAAGATCCTGGTAGAAGAAAGACCTCATAATCTCCAATTCAGGAAAAATTTCCACAAAAGAGCATATTAAATTTCGAACTGGAGAATTAATTATTTTAATTGCTAGCTATAAGGCATTGTGAGTTAATAGTTTGACTTCTTTCCTTTGGTTGCCAGCTTTAAGTCACTGCCTAGGTGCAGATCAGCCATGTCTGTCTCTGCCGCAGTGTGATTCTTGTCCTGATGCAGTGCGTGATAATCTGTCACAGGGTGTGTTGCTCCCTGGATGCACCTCCCAGCTGTGGGAGTTCCCAGCCCTGCACAAACTTCAGGGTTGTAAACAGGGCACGGGGATGCGCTCAGGGGCAGTCTCCAAACACTGGTGACTAAGCATTTGATAATGTGGTAGAACTTGGAATCCCTCACAAAATGAAGGTGTCAGTCTGTCAGAATTACAGCTGGCCCTGTGTGGTCCATGAAGCTGGTTTTTTGGAGCCACCTCATTTTCAGCAGACAGAATGGGATTGGACATCTGGAAACAATCAGATCTTCAAGGGAAGACAAATATCAAAGTTTTTATTAACTTTGTGAAGAAATCCTTAATCTGATCCAATCCTTAATCTGATGTCAATTTCCTCAGGATAAAACCATTAGTACCTTGATACTTTCAGTGGGATATTTATAGTTGAACACCACAAACTTCACTGCTTTGTAAAGAGCTGGTTGTAATCTAAATTCTATTTGGCCTTCAAGATGGGTCTTCCTGACACAGTGCTCCCCAGGTTCTGGTATTTTCCACAGTAAGATCAACATCTCCATGACATTCTTTTCTGCTATCATTTGGTTAGATCAATAGAGGACAAGACTGTACTAGATGTTAAAGCCCATGTGTTTGGCAAAGCCTAGAATGTGCTGTTTTTCTTTCTGTGGGTTTCCTTCCTTTGTCCCCCTCACCCACACTTAACCCTCAACATGTGCTAAAGGGCACATTTTGTTAAAAGACTGGCTACATGTAAGTTTCAAATTTTTATACAAATCGTGCACCCTGACACCTCTTCCCAGAGTGACTGCATCGCAGGCCCGGGATGACTGATCATGTTGAGCACTGCACAACTGGCTTTGACCACTTTCCCAAGTAGACTGTGCCTCTGTGGGTAGCCACGTCCTTCCCCCGTGACCCTTGGGGGAAATGTAGCCAGCTGAAATGGACTCCAAGTTTACACATGTATATGAACTTGAAATCTGGACGTCTACAGCCTCACAGTACTGAGCGGGCCTGTCAAGGACATGCGTGCTGCTCAAGACATTGCTTTGGTAGATCTAACTTTCAACCTGAAACATCTATCCAGTCATTACACTCTCCAGGAATGCACACAATTTTAGTAAATAATATGGACTCAGAACCATGTTCACTTGACATGTAAGCAATTACAGTTGGCCTTTTTTAAAATGTGAGCCAAGTGGGAAATGTTATGTACATTTTTGTACATGGCTGTATTTTGTATGAACTTAAAAAGAAATAAAATATTTTAAGCTGAATGTTCTGAAATTATTCAGGCCCAGGAACATGGGACCGAAGTGCCTGTGGATGTGAACTTTTCCCTCAGTAAGGAATCAAATGTTCTTGTGACCACAGGGGCCTCTTGAGGATTGCTGTCGTGTTTTGTCTTCGAGGAGGGCACTAGAGGAGAGGCCAATGCGGTACAAGTTAGGCATGCCCAAGGATGTGGTTAAAAATAAATAAATAAATGGAGGGCTCTCCCTGGTGGCGCAACAGGTTATAACACCACATTATGAAGCCACTGCAGCATGGGTTTGATCCCAGCTGGTGAGCTGACCCACATGGCTCGGCAGACCTCTCCTGACCCGCCCGCTGTTCCCCTCAGCAGTGTATTTCAGTAGATCTGCCTGTTCTTCTCCCCACTCTGTCTCTGGTGAATCTTAACCACCCACCACACCTCTGGCCTGTACCCCAGTTCTGTAAGCATTAATAAATGAATCTTTTTTTTAAAAAATGGATTGGGGTTCTATACTCAGCAAATCACTCATGGAAAGGGTGCAAAAAATAAAAGCATTGGGGAGGGAGAAACACCTGGTTTTGCTTTTTTGCAAAGTCTAAGAGTCCATCATGGTAAATACATTAGCCATTTATTAGTCTGGAGCTCATAAGGCCCACAGAAAACTGACTTGGGAGAAAGGCGTATTTAAGTGGTGTGAGTGAAGCCTCGCCTAGGCACCTGTCTTAGACCAAGCGCCCCACACAAGCCTGGTCCAGGCTCCAGAGGTAGCCAGGGAGAGCGGGGCTTGTCTTCCATCTGAGAACACGCCAGCCCGGGGAGTGAGGCTGCAGATATTAAGCAGCAGATGTAAACATTACAAATAGACTAACCTGAAGGTTTTAAAAATGACGGACCTTGCCTTGGTGCTAAGATCAGCATCCAGACTGAGAGAAAAGCAGCGCTGCCAACAATGAACAATGGCACAAGGCCATGCTGTTCTGCTAAGATGAAGTCTCCGCCTGAGTAATTTAAAAACACAGCATCCAGACCCTCCCTGGTGGCGCAGTGGGTTAAAGCACAGCACTGAGAATCTAAAGCCACTTCAGCATGAGTTCGGTCCCCAGCCCAGGAGGTGACCACATGGCATGGCAGACCTCTCCTGGCCCACCCGCTGCTCCCCTCAGCAGTGTACTTTGTTAATTGGCCTGTTGTGCTCCCCACTCTGTCTCTGGTGAATCCTCTCACCACCCCTGCACCTCTGGCCTGTACCTCAGTTCTGTATGCATAAATAAGTAAATCTTTTTTAAAAAGCATTTAGGCATAAGTGGCAAGAAGAATTTAGTGACACTCCATTTCTTTAAATCTTACTTTTGATGTCACCCTAATAAGAGACCGTAAAGTCAAGCTGCTCCGAGCACAGATTCCACAGCCTGGGACAAAGCCCGATGAATCCCCGCAGTGACCCCAGCCCCCACCTCAAACTGTGTCTGTTCCTGATCCTGCATCACCGATGCGCTGCTTGGACAACCTGAAAGGAATTTCAGAAGAGGGCTGTGCTCGACGGGGGGCAGGGAAGGGGCTGGACAGCCCCTCCATCATTTCACTGGCCTCATTATTGTCTTCTAGAAATGCATTCTGAATCCTGTAAGACAGAAAGTAGTGGTATCCCTAAGCTGGATCAACTTATCAAGACTATATATGCACTGTAGAATTCATATTCAGTAAAAGTCAAAATTCCCAAATGCATTTTTAGATGCCTGGCTGGCGGGCAGACAAATGTGGTTTGGCAGGAACAGAGCTTGTTGACAGCTTGGTTCTCACTTTTCCTCTCTAGCAACAAGGCTTCTGCCACAGGAGGTCTCCCAGTCATGTTGTGAGGCATCTCTCTGCCCAGGGCCAGACCCAGGATCCTGTTCTCTAGAGGCACACAGGGTTTCCATTGGGCCTGTGTGCGTTTAACTCATATGTTCTGTGAATTCTGAAAGTCTTTTACAATAAATTTTAAATTTTTGTTTCATTGCACAAAAGCAGAAAGCAGCTGAAGGACACAAAGAAATCCTTGAGGTGCTTCTGTTCCTACAGCTTCCAGATCTTTTGGGACATTCTGATTTTGCTGTAACTATTTCTATTAAAAAACTTACAATTACTGGGCATGATTTAGAAAAAAGGGGAGTGTGGGAAGAGAATAAGAGCAGCGCTTCTCAAACTGGAACATGCATGAGTGTGTAGGGCCCTCATGGTACAGCGGCCCTCGCGCTGGGCCTCACTGTGAGTAGTGGGTGCAAGCTGCACCCCAGGAATGTGTGGAAATAAGCAACTCCAGTTGCTTCAAAATCTTTAGCTTCTGGAGACATTGCCCATTTGACAGGGCCCAGGGAGGCCAGTTGCTGCTGCTGCTGCCCAGGTTCCATCCTGCAAACAACAAATGGCGTGGCTCAATGATTTCTGTTTCACTATTTGGCTCCCAAGTCTCTGAATCTTCATCTGACAAATGGGAATAATAATAATCTATGCCTGATGGAGTTGTTATGAAAATACGCTGGGATGAACATAAAGTGAGCATACGATATGTCTGCAGCAAATAAATGATCACGGTGGGTTATTGTCGACAGCATTGAGATGAAGGTTCTTTGACCAACAAGACATTGTAAATGGCTGCAAAAAAGGAATTTCGTGTGCCTCTTCCAGCACCTTTCACCTTCTGATTTCTTCTTGTGTAAGTCAGAGACAGAGCACACCTCCAGCTCCTTAGACACCATTAGTGCTGTCAGGGTAAGTGAGATTAAATAAAAACACTGACCCATTCTCTCCTAGGGGAAAATTGGGAGTATCAATATTCGAGCACATTGCTTCAAAAACTGACTGTTTTTGTCAGGGAAATCTGCACTCTCTGACTTCCTGCCCTCACAAAGCAGGGCAAACTCCTCTAAATCTACTCCCCCAAAACATTTTGAAAGCTCCAATCTTCTCAGACAAAAGCAAAGTCTGAGGTGGCTGCTGAGACCAGCATGGTAATGTCCGTGTTCTGTGAAGTGGGGAACACAGTGACCTTTGAGCTTATTTCTAGTTCACTCAATGTTCCGAAATGTCTGTATCAGGGTGTGTTTTCAAACAACTAAAAGCTAAACTTACCCCAGGGAGGAGAGTTGCTGTGATTTTGGCACGCTCCTAGTTAGCATACTAAATGTCATCAAGGGGGGAAGGCAGGTAGGCTGGGTTCTCAGCCCACATGAAACCCCAGGTGGCAAATGGAAGGTCCAGCTGCCCGGGCATCAACAGGGCAAACTGGGTTAAAATGACATTAAAATCTCCTTGAGTGAGGCCCTAACCCCATACCTCAAAAGTTCAGAAATGCTCGATTTCTTCTCCAAACCACATGCCAAAGACTTGAACTTGAGTGTCCTTGAGCAAGCCTCACAACAGCAGAACCCACAGAATGCAGAGTCATGAAAGGTCAGGAGACCTGCTTGAGAACAACACTGCCTCGGGTGCTGGCAGGCCTGTGGGAACATGAGCCAGCACCTAGTTGGCGCTGGCTGTTAACCTTTGCCCCTGTGCGCTCTGGCCTCTTATGACACATTGGGGAATGAGGTTATTTCTGAATCTGCCCTTTGGCTTCTTTAATTCCTAATCCTAAAGAAAAGGTGACTGTGAAGGATTCATCTGGTTCATGTTTGCCTTCATTTGAGTTGTGACAGTGTTTTAATATCTAAATTTCTCAGGAAGTTCAACACCAATGGCATTAAATCAAATAGTTACCAGAGATATATAAACAATTTTCCTGGGATTAAGCATGAGAACATCAGCTTTTAAAAGATATAAAGACCATGTCCTCCCTGCCTGGTGTCCCTTCACTCTCAGGAGAAAAGACAAAAGAAAGCTGACAGCTGATAGCATTTTTCTCAGTGCAGTGCATAGATGCAGCTACACGAAAAGGAAAGAAAGCTACAGACTAATATCCTTGGTGAATATAAATGCCAAAACACTCAATAAAAAATATATGGCACCTAAGTTTTGGAAGGAAAAAAGTGTCAAAGCCTGGATTAGTCTATCCACTAGAGAGGCTGTTGTGACTACAGACTCAAAGATCCTGCCCATACTGGGAAGGCCTCCCCACCCAGCATCATCTATTCTCTGTAGAGCCTGTTTTCTCACTGCAGAGGAGAACAGCAAACAGGTCAAGACCTGCAATGCCATGTGGGTCACCTCCCTGGCTGGGAATTGAACTTGTGCTGCAGCAGCTGGTGATAGCTTCATAGTACTGTGCTTTAACTGGTTAGGCCACCAGGGAGGGGCCCTGGTCTTTTAAAATGTTCTACTGAGTTCAGTTTGTTAACATACATTTTGTTGAGTATTTTGGCATTTATATTCACCAAGGATATTGCTGTAGCTTTCTTTCCTCATAATGACCTACTTACTTTTGGAATTATGATAATGCTGCGCTTATAAAGTGAGTTTAAAGTTTTCTGTCCTTTGGACCCTTCCTGGTGGTGCAACAGGTTAAGCTCAGCACTCTTACTCTTAGGGGATTCTCCACTTGTTCCTACTTCTGAGAACAGAGCACGAGCTGAAGCAGGCGTCTACCTGTGAGATAGAGGTCGTGACACCTGTGTGGCTGTCTGCAGGCCCCTCGAGTACCCTGGTGATCTGCCTGCGCTGAGAGCGCCTTCACTTACTTTCCACCCTAAGAAAGTAGGGTTATGGGGGAGGGCACAGAATATATGTACCCCAAGTCCTAGCAAAGCAAAGAACAAACGGAATACTTACTAAAAATTTATTTTTCTACATGCACTGGGGAGGGAGTCCTGGAAAGGACCTTAAAAAACAAGTATCCGGCCCTCCTTGGTGGCACAGCAGGTTAAAGCACAGCACTGAGAATCTAAAGCCACTGCCGCATGAGTTCGATTTCTGCCTGCCCTGGAGGCACACATGGGTGACCACATGGCGTGGCAGACCTCTCCTGACCCGCTCGCTGCTCCCCTCAGCAGTGTACTTCGTCAATCTGCCTGTTCTGTTCCCCACTCTGTCTCTGGTGAAGCCTCTCACCGCCCCTGAGCCTCTGGCCTGTACCCCAGTTCTGTATGCACAAGTAAATAAATCTTTAAAAAAAAAAAAGTATCAGTGTAAAATATAAAACCTGGAGTTTTGTGGTTGGGTCCTTACTTCAGTCTTATGGGAAAAAACTCTGGAGTGATGTCTCAGAAGTTGGAAGTGCAGGTCCCTGTATGACAAAGCACACCACGGGCCTGTGGGCAGGCTAAAGAGGGAGTAGACAGCACAAGGCCAGACAAGAAAGGTCCTTGGCCCCTAACCTCTACCGGCCAACAGAGACTCCCTGCCCCCCAGTCAGTGACACCCTGCAGGTGCCATAACTGCATGACTGATTGGCACTTTGGTGCCCCCAATTTTAGAACTGCCTTACGGAATGGCGTTCTGCCCGTCAAGCAAGCCTCACAACCAAGTCTTTGCAGGTGGGTGGTAAAGTTATGTGTCACATCCTACAAGTCCCTTTCTCTTTGTCATCTCTATTCTCTATCTCCAACACTGTTGCTGCCTGTCTCGGGAAGTTGGATATAATGATCAAGCCCAAGCCCCACTTTATGACAGAGAGCAAGGTACTTTCTCTGAACATTGATTTCTTCCTGTGAAAAGCTGTGATAATACTGGTAGTGTTGCTGAGAGCTTGTGTGGATGTGTCAAACGCTACTCTTGTGCTTTTCATGAATTCATTTCACGACTACATGAATAGGCATGGCACTATTAAAAGGAATTAAAAGGAAGTGAGGATGAAAGAAATATTTTCTTTCAAGGAGAAATACCTGCCCCATGAGACTCCATGGTACAGGGTTAAGTCACAGCACTATGAAGCTACCTGCAGCCTCTGCAGCAAGAGTTCAATCCCCAGCCAGGGAGCTGACCCACATGGCACAGCAGACCTCTCCTGTCCTGCCTGCTGCTCCCCTCAGCAGTGTGTTTCAGGGGATCCATATGTTCTGCTCCGCCCTCTGTCTCTAGTGAATCCTCTCATCCCCTGCCCCTCTGGCCTGCACCCTAGCTCTTGTATTAATGAATGAATAGAAAGCTGCCCCAGGACACACAGTAATCAGTTGAGCCAGGAGGGCAGTGGTGGCAATAAAACTGGGTGGTGCAAAGCAAATGCTTGCACATGGGCAGCACACAAACACACATTAGTTCTTACAGTCAACATTAGAAGCCATGTCTGTGGGCTCATCTTAGACAAAGCTTGATTCTCTTACTCATTCAGCAGGAAACCTCAAATACTTGCTCTGACTGACAAATGTCAACTACATCCCAACTTCCTCCTAGGACTCCAGTAAGGTTATCTTCTCTGCTGTGATTCCTGTAAGTCCAGTCTCACAGGGATGGCAAACTTTTTTCTGTAAAGGGTCAGATGTTAGCCTTTAGAGGCTACCATCCTGGCCACACAGCCTTCCTTTATTTATTTTCAACCCTTTCAAAAATGTAAGTCCCATTTTTTCTTGGACTATAGTCTGTCAAACCCTGCCTTACAGGATTCTTACAGGGTCCTCATTCAAGGCATCAAAAGGCTTTCACAGAAATGGATGATGTAGGCATCAGAATTAGCTAGGTAACCTAGTTAATCTTTTCTTGAATCCCCCTTCCCCATCACCACCACCAATCATAGCCAAAAAATTTCATTAAATTGTACATGAGTGAAATGGTAAAGAAACTTCCAAAGGTTTGCAGGGGAGAGATGGTAGCTATATAGGTAGGTAGATGATCCAGAAAGTCTCATCCTGAATGTTCTAAGGCAATCAGTGAAGAGAAAGAAAAAGGAAACTCTCCCAGAAAAAAAAAAAAAAAAGCACCATTAATTTAGAAGCAGAAAGAATTTTATCCATGCAAAAGGTATTTTGAAATATGCTTTGGGTACCTCTGTGCAGACACTCTAATTCAGTCATGGAACGTTAGCATTTGAGCTCAAAGGGGCCTTAGAAATTATCTGGTCCAATCCCCTTATTTCATGAATGAGGATTCTGAGGCCCACTGATAGAAAATAAGTTGGGTATTTCCATGCAATATTATATGTAAAAGGGGTTTGTTTGGTTTTTTTGTCCCTCAAATTGGCATTTATGTCATTAAGTGTTTGAATGGAAGTTGTCGATGGAAAACGACCATTCTCTTTATTACCAATAGATAGTTTACCACCTTTAAACTATTATATCTGGTAAGACAATATATTGTACTTCTTAGTATTTATCAAAGGCACTTTTTGTTGCACTTTCTATACTTTTGGTGTGAATGTCGGCCAATGGGCATCAATCACGAGGTCAGTGAATTTGGTTCTCCTTCAAATCACCCTCCCATGGCCCCATCACCACACTTCTGCCCCAACCTGCTCAAGCACCTTTACTTCCACTGCCAACGCCCTCAGCTCTGTTTCATGCTCACTCCTTTCCACTCCAGTTCCTCCAAATTTACCCCGTCCATATTTTTCTTCTTAAAAGCAGGTTCAAATCCTGTATCACTGTCTCTGACTCCTACCCACCCCAAGTTTCTGAATATCTTAACAAATCAAATTTGAGTACCAATTACAGTTTCAGTGTTTATCTGAAACCTTAACCCCTTAACCTTCTTTCTCTCCAGCATTATTTACAATCGTTTCCCCCGATGTTTCCTCAAATTATTTTGGCCCTTCCTTAAATAAGTCCCCACATTCCAGCCTTTGCTAAGGCCATCCACTCCATGAGACAGTGCCTCCTCACCCGTCACAACCTTCAGAGTCCAGTCACCTTAATGCCCCCAACACCCTCCCCAACACTGCCAGCTCCTGATATTTTACTCTTCATTCCCCAAGCATTTGCTTCTACTTTCTTATAGCAGGAACCAAATTTGACCTTCTTTTACATTATTTGGGAAGGTGTCCTAATTATTCTACTGAAAGCAAGCTACCTTTTCTGCAAGTACAATAGTTTTAAGTTAAAACACGAAATTTATTGCATAATATTGAACTATATGCACACACATAGAAAATAAACATTTCATATAACTGTATATCATTTTTAATCTTGTTTTATAAAGACTGAAAAACTACCAATTTAGCAATTGGAATAAGTTTTAAAAACAAAAAGCAAAAATCTACAGTCCTTCATTGAGATTTAATGCTGTATCACATTTCATAAATACTTCATTTTATATAAATAAGTCTTTTCTCTAGTGACTAGGAATTTAAAATTAGACTGACATGGATTCTTTGATCATGTAGAGTTTTCTTATCCCATGATGAAGAAGGTTAAGCATGTCATTTTTAAGATACATATATTTGCTTTAGACATAATCCCCCCGAAACTGCATTGTAAACAAACATTTCAAATGCAATAAACAAAAGTTCCATAATAATGTCCTTAAGTTTTAGCAATTAGGGAAAAAGAAAAAAAATGAGTAGAAATTTTACAGTTTAAATAGAAATAAAAAAGAACAGACTGCATGCATCCACTGGGGGTGGGGGGAGAAGAGGAAGGTAACAGGTAACACAATGGGATGAAAAAAGGAGAGAAAAAAGGAAAGCTGGAGAGGGGAGTGGGGACAGTGACAGAGAAAGAGATAGAGGAAGGGACAGAAATGGATTGTTTCTACTTTTCTTAGAGAAAATACTCTTGAAAATATGAATGAAACTTGCTCAAAAGTGAGGGAACAGAAAGGGCAGGACTTATCACCTCAGCTGTAGTCAGAGGGAGGACACGGCTGAGCATCACAGCACGATCAGGCTCAAGTGCACGCTGAGCTGCTCGGCACATCTTAAGGAGGCCCAGGAAACAGGCAGAGCCGTGGGAAGATTGCTATTCCCTAAGACTTTTTCTTTTTAAAGGCAAGATGTGTTCCTAAAGGCTTCAGTAAATTCTCAAGAGTTCAATCGAAGTAATGGACCCAGATTCAACTTGTTGGAACTGGAAGTTTCTGAAGTAGTCCTTTCCCCCTTAGGCCTTACGGTGGGGCTGCCACAAGCCAGGAGCATTCTCAAGGCTACAGAGAAAGGAGACATTCTGCATGTGCAGGTAAGAAAAGACAGATGAGATGAGAAGGAGGAATGACAAATTCAGAGAAGGAACATGAAGCACTGTGAGGAAAGATCAGGGCTGAGAGAGACATTTGGGAAGTGAAAATTTTAAATTCACTGCCATTTTGTCCAGCAGAGTGCAACATATTCACAAGTGCAGGGAACACTGGGAAATTTGATTTAAAAACAAAAATACCTCCTCCTACCAAGAGCCAATTTTTCACCCCACTCCCAGGCCCTGAATTTTCAAAAAGGTAGCTTACCAGTTACAACCCCAGAAACACAACAACCAGGCTCAGGATTCAAAAGTACCACCCCACTTATGCAATAAAAAAATAAAACTCACTCCCCATGATTTTCTGTATAGGCCTCAATGTGGGCATTGAGGAAGGGAGAGACATCTGGGGCAAGTTGGGGAGCCTCAGGCCAGACTAAACCCCTCATAGTTGTCAAGTGCCTGGGTCAGCCTTGCGCTCAGGATTTCTTTGCTGCTGTACTTGGGGAGGTCAAGAAGGTTATAACAAGTGTGGGCCACCGGCAAGTACTCCTCTCCACTGGCTGTGGACTGGATTACGATCTGCAGGCTTGCCATGCCGTAGATGGGGATCCGATCACTGCCAGTCAGGAACACTGCAGAGAGAGGGAACTGGCGTTAGGGCTACTTACAGGAGGAGCTGCGCTGGCCTCCTAGGGACAGAGAGGACAGCCTGACACCCTGTGGCTTGTAGGAGAAGTACAATCATTTCTGTGTGCTGACAACTACCGTGTTAATATAAACGCTCTTGTTCTTAAAACAAAATGCCTTTCAACTCCTGGGTTTTGTTGTTGTTTGTGAACTATATATAAGAGAATTGAATGCAACTGATAAACATTAGTTTCAGATGTACAATAAAGACTTGACGTTGTATACAATGTAAAATAATCATGGCAGTAAGTCCAATTCCAGGCCAATCTCTGCAAGTTTTCAAATTTGTAATATAATGATTGCCTCTGGCATCAGGCTGTATACTCCATCACCCCCATGATATATTCATTTTATAACTGGAAATTTGGGAAGGTTGTTTCTTAAAAGATTTCACTGAGGTAGTAACATTGGTTTACAACTGTATGTTTCAGGGTACAAGTTCACACTGCTTCAAATATTACCACACCACACCCACCACCAAAGAAGCACCAGTAACCACTTGGTCCCCTCCCCCGTTACTCCCCACCCAACTCTCCCTCTCTGATAGCCTTAATCCTGCAGACAGATTTCCTGGGATTGTTTTGGTTTGATTTTGTCTGTTCCTTCATGTTCCACGCATGAATAAAATCATCCACTGTTTTTCTCTTTCTGATTTTTTTTGCTTAGTATGATCCCCGCCAGTTCTACTCATGTAGTAACAACAGCAAAATTCATCTCTCATATAGCTGAGTAGTGTCCATTGTGTTTATACAATTTTATCCACTCGTTTTTGGCTGAGGTTGTTTCCATGCCTTAGTAACAGTAAATTGTGCTGCAATGTACAGAGGAGTATGTAAATATCTTCAAATCAGTGCTTTATAATCTTTGGGTAAACACCTAGGAGTAAAATTACTGGAGAATATGGCAAAACTAGGTTGAGTGTTTTATGAAACCTCCCCACTGTTGCAGTGAATGGGAGAAAATATTTGCGTACATCAAACAAGGAGTTAGTATCCAAGGTCTACAAAGAACTCATACAACTCAGCAACAGGAAAACAAATAACCAATTAAAAAAAAAAATGCTCCTCAGCCCTACCTGGTGGCGCAGCGGGTTAAAGCACAGCACTGAGAATCTAAAGCCGCTTCCGCATGAGTTCGATTCCCGCCTGCCCCGGAGGTGACCACATGGCGTGGCAGACCTCTCCTGACCCGCCCGCTGCTCCCCTCAGCAGTGTACTTTGTCGATCTGCCTGTTCTGCTCCCCACTCTGTCTCTGGTGAATCCTCTCACCCTCCGCATCTCTGGCCTGTACCCCAGTTCTGTATGAACAAATAAATAAATCTTAAAAAAAAAAAATGCTCCTCATCACTGATCAGGGAAACATAAATCAAAACCACAACGAGATACCAGCTCACCGCTGGGAGAATGGGTCATATCAGAAAAACCAGAAACAAGCAAGAGTGGACACAAAGGAACGTTCATACACTGTTGGTGGGAATGGTCCAGTTCCTATGAAACCAATATGGAGGTTTCTCAAAATATAACTGGAACTTCATACTTCTTGATAACTAACCTAGTCTACTACCCTCTGACCCCCGGCCCCTCTGGTAACCACCCATTTTCTGTATGAATTTTATTTTGTTCCTGAGATACTTTATATAAGTGAAATAATAAGGTGTTTGTCTTTCTGCCTTATTTCACTTAATGTCCTGAGGGTCCACCCATTTCATCACAAATGGCAAAATATCACTGTGTTTAATAGCTACACAGCATTGTCTTGTGTGTATACATTATGTCGTCTTTATGCATTCATCGACTGATGGACACACAGGTTGTTTCCATAGCTTGGTTATTGTAAATAATGCTGCAATGATCATAAGGGTGCGTATAGCTTTTCAAATTACTGTTCACATTTTCCTCAGAGAAATAAAAAGTCGAATTGCTGAGTCAATGACAGAAGTAGTTCAATTTTTAATTTTTTGAAGAACTTCCACACTGTATTTTACACTATATTACCGCCAATAATAGCAATGCACGGGTCTTATTTGCTCCACATCCTTACAAGCAGTTATCATTTGATTTTTATTGATAACAATTCTGATAGGTGTAAAGTGGTATCTCTTGTGGTTTTGATTTATAATTCTCTAATTTAGACTTCTTTTCATGTGCTTGTTGACCATTGTATGTCTCACTGAAAAAAATATCCATTTTGAATCTCTGCCCCCTTTTAATTGAGTAGTTCTGGGCTGTTGAGTTCAATGACTTCTCTCTACATTTTTAATGTGATCTCTCAATCAGATACAGGATGTGCAAATATTGTCTCCTGTGCAATAGTTTGCTTTTTCATCTTGTACATGGTTTCCTTAACTGTGCAGAGCTTTATAGTGTCATACAGCTCTATTTGCTTATTTTTTTTTTTTAAGATTTATTTATTTGTACACACACAACTGGGCTACAGGCCAGAGGCTCAGCAGCAGTGAAAGGCTTCACCAGAGACAGAGTGGGGAGCAGAACAGGCAGATCGACGAAGTACACTGCTGAGGGGAGCAGCGGGCGGGTCAGGAGAGGTCTGCCACGCCATGTAGTCACCTTCGGGGTAGGCGGGAATCGAACTCATGCGGAAGCGGCTTTTAGATTCTCAGTGCTGTGCTTTAACCCGCTGCGCCACCAGGGAGGGCCCTCTATTTCCTTATTTTACCTTTTGTTGCTATCGTCTTTGGAGTCAGATTCAGAAAAAAAAAAAAAAAATAATGACCTATGCCACGGAACTACACCTATAGATATAGGTGTAGTATAGATGGTTATTGTAAAGAATGCTGCAATGATCATAAGGGTGCGTATAGCTTTTATGCTTTTAGGTCATATATTCCAAGTCTTTAATCCATTTTGAGTTAATTTTTGTGTATGATGTAATATAGTCCAGTTTCCCCAACATAATTATCAAAGAGACTGTCTTTTCCCCATTGCCAATCTTGGCTCCTTTGTTGAAAATTAATCACAGTATGTGGGTTTATTTCTGGATTCTCTCTTATGTCCCATTGATCAATGTCTCTGCTTTTTTGATAATATGATACTGTTTGGCTTACTATTGCTGTGTAGTGTAGCTTGAAGGAATATCTCTGCTTATATTCCTATTTCTTAGGATTGCTTTGTCTATCAGAGTTTCTTGTTTATTCAGTTTCTTTGAAAGATTTTGCTAGAATTCTAGACATTTTAACAAAATTAATTCTGCTGATCCATGAGTACAAAATACTTTTCCATTTCAGTATTCATTTTTATCAATCTTAATTTTCAGTACACAGGTCTTTCACTTTCTTCATATTAAATTCTCACATATTGAGAATTTTATTTTTCTGATGCTATTACAGCACATGGTATCGCTTTTTTACATTTCTCTTGCTTTAGTATATAGAAAGTTAGTAATTTTTGAATATGACTTTGAATCCTGAAATTGTTTTTGATAGTTTTTCTGATTTTCTATATATAATCATCAATTACTGAGTTGAAGTAAAAACATCTCAATTTGGATGCTTTTTATCTCTTTCTTTTCCTAACCTTTCTAGCAAGGACTTTTAATATGATATTGTATACAAGTGTAAAAGAGCTGATACCCTTGTGTTATTCCTAGTCTTATAAGAAAGCTTTTAGCTTCACCACTGAGTATGATGTCAGCTATGGCCTTTACTCTATTGAGGTATTTTCCCACACTCTATCCACTTTCTAAGTTTTTTGTCAAAAATGGATGTTGAGTTTTATACATTTTTCAATGTATATTAATATATAGAAATATACTATGTATATCAATTTTTATGCTTCACTTCGCTAATGTGATGTATTATGTTAATTCATTTCTAGATGTTGAGCCATCCTTGTGCATGGGCTAAATCTCACTTGATCATGAAATATAAGCCTTTTAATGTAGTATTGCTTGATTTGCTAATATTTTATTGATGTTCATTAGGAGATTGATAGCATGTAATTTTCTTACTGTGGTGATAGTTACATGGCTTTGGTGTCAGGGTAATTTTGGCCTCACAAAATGAATTTGGAAGTTTTCCTTCCTCTTCCATTATTTTGGAAGAGTTTGAGCAGGATAGGTATTAAATCGTCCTTGAACACTTGCCAGAATTCACCAATGTGAGGTCGGATCCTAGACTTTTCTTTTTGGGGAGCTTTTTTATGACTATTTTAATCTCTGATTAGTAATTTGTACCAGTACTAGTCCATTCACTGTATTCATTTCTGATTTCCTATTTCTTTCTGATTCAGTGTGGGAAAATCATAATTCTAAAAATGCATGCATTTTGTGTGGTTTGCCTAATTTGTTGGCATATAACTTGTTCATATTAAGCTCATAATTACTTTTTATTTCTGTGGTGTCAGCTGTAACCCTTTCATTTCTGACTTTATTTTATCACTCATTTTTTCCTTGATGAGCCTAACTAAAGGCGTGTCAATTTTGTTTAACTTTTCAAAGAAGCAGCTCTTCATCAATCCTTTCTTCTGCCTTACCAGTCACTATTTCACCTATTTTTGCTCTAATTTTCATTTCTTCTTTCCAGCTACTCATTTTGGGGTTTTTTGGTTTTCTTTTTTCCCCTAATTCCTTCTTTTTAGTTTCCCAAAGTACAAGATTAGATTAATTAAGAATTATCTCATTACTTGAAGGAGGCACTATATATTGCTATGAACTTCTCTTTTAAAATAGCTTTTTACTTCATCTGCATAGATTTTGGTATGTTGTATTTCCATTTATCCCCAGGTATTGTCTGATTTCTGTGTCAACCCAACAGTTGTTCAGTGGCTTGTTTCCACCTCTATTTTTGTGGGGTTTTAGTTTTTTCTTGTGACTGTTTCACACTGTTGTGAGTCAGATAAAATATGATTTGTCTTCTTAAATTTACTGAGACTTTTTGTGCTCAAGCATGTGATCTATTCTGGAGAGTGTCCCATGCACATTTGAGAA